TGTAGAAGTTTGTATTGTACAATAAACCAGTTTGTATGTATGGGCTTGTACACTTTCTCTGATCCTTACTGTCAAAGCTCCTTAGGTTTCCCATATTTTTCATTCAACATTTCAAGCTTTAAAGCATGGATTGTTTTTATGGAAAGATTAGCTTATGTAGGTTATATGCTGTATGTAGAGGCTCTTTAAGGACTCTCATAGTTTCACAGGTTTGATAATTTTGTTGGTTAATCAGAGCACTTGAAATAAATTGTTTCTGTGTTCTAGTACCATAATGTCAGAAGAGGTATAGTGCATTGATCTGAATCATTCGAACATAATTTCTTTGAAACAGAAGTCAGAATGATGTTCATAAGAACATAACACATGCTGATGATAAGAAACTTAAAACTGTTTGTCCATTTGGGCGCGAGCAGTGGTGTCAGCTGACGTGCCGCTGAGAGAAACGGACTCGTCTCCGGGAGACCTGCGCCTAGATGCTACGTGCTTCGAGGGAGCGGGTCCCGGCTGGGAACCGGGGCCCTTAGCTAAAGGCTTTAGCGCCCCACTTTCCTGGTTCAGCGCGGCGGAGTGATCTTTAGTGGGGAGCAGTGCCGAGGAATCCACCCCAGGGTCGCCCCTTTATCCGGTCGACCGGCGCACGCCACGCTGACCTCAGCATAGCTGAAAGATCTGGTAATCACAATGTCACTAAAACAACACCTCTACTATACGCAAACAACAATAATTACGCTTCTAGCTCCCTGGAGACTAATCTTTCTCTGCCCTCCCAGCGCCTTGCCCAGAAGAGGAATGCCTTCTCGACACCAGCACATGATCAATCTGATTGACCACTCCCATACTTGGTACCTTCCAGGTCCCCTTGTGTTCGAAACAAGTGCTTTTGATGATCAGACTATTCATTAGCCTCTTCTGTGGGTGCATAAGCTGAAACAAAGGACAAGTTTCTGAAGAGTCCTTTGAGCCTTATCTAACACATTCTGTCTCCTAAAGTCTCAAAACCTAAATAGCTTCGTTTTTATTCACCCTGCCATGTCCATTCCACCTCACCACCTCCAATGCCACCACGTCCATCCCATACTTCAGCACCTCCATTTTTCCTGCCTTCTTCATGGTTCTAACATTCCATGTGGCCACAGTCAATGTCGCAGTTCGCTTCCGAATCCGTGAACGTTAGCCAGGTCCATTACCTAATGATCCATCCATCCGAGGCTCTTTTGAGAGTATCCTAACAATACTTGTTTTCTGGGGTGGGGTTAACCCCAAGCCCAAGCTGGAGGACCAGGGTATCACTCTTAGTCTGGCGCATAGCCTTAGACCTGTCCGGCATGGGTGACCCTACCATGAGCCAAAGCTCCAGCCGGCATAGCCCTTTCACACGTGGCTCATGTGAGCTGAAATGACTGCTAGGGATAGAAATCCCAGCAAAACGCATTGAACCCTTTCAGGCGAGAGCCGGTGAACCTGTGTGAGCGGCTCATGAGCCACTATGCAGCTCTCCCCGCTAGTAGCAGCTTATGGCGGGGAGAGTCTTGCGTGCTTTGACATGGAACCCTTTCACACGAGGCTCACTGAGCTGCAGATCAAGGCAGTCTTGCCAACGCATTTATACGGGAGAGGCATTTGTGGGGAAAGAAACTCCAGTAAGTTGTTTGTAATGGGCACTATTTATTAATCATTTACAATATTTATGCTATAAAATATTATTATTACTTCTCTACGAACAAAACAAAGGAACTTGCATTTGTAGGAAAAGAGGTGGTTAGAGCAAAAATTTTAATTTCAAACACCTACGGAACAAGTCAGCGATTTTAAATACTAAGGCTACTTAATTAGCACAGATAGGTCCAAAGATTTATATCATAAATTAAACAAATTTCGACATTATGTGGCACCATTAGAAGAACTTTATTAGGCAAAGTCAGTACTGAAACCTTCCTTAAATTTCACAATATAATGGCAGTTCCTTCTCAACTTTATGGCGCAGAATGCTGGACCCTAACCAAACTACAAAAGCAATGAACAGAAGTAGCAGAGATGAAATTTCTAAGACCAATTGCAGGGTATAAAAGAACAGATCATATAAGAAATGACGATATTAGATGCGAACTAGGAAATTTTAACTTGCTGGATAAAATATGTGAACATCAAAGGAATTGGCTAATGCATATAGAGAGAATGGAAGCCAACAGAATTCCACAAAAAATATATAAAGGCAAACAAGGCAAAGGCCACCCACAAAAACGTTGGAATGACTAATTTTTACTGCAGAGTACTGTATCCTATTTACTCGGAACAGAATATTCCTTGGAGACGGAACAGTCTATAATAGGCTAAACCATGGAGGTGGTGGTGATGATGATTTGATGAATGCTGCTAATACAATGAAAATGTGTTGTTGGAGGGACTGATTGAAGTTGGTAACTCTAGCAGAGGGTCATGTGAGCCGAACTCTGAATTGCTTATAGCCTCTGCATGAGCTGCATACCGGCTCAGTTGAGCGGCTCACGTGTGAAAGCAGTCTAAGTGTCATTTAAGTACGCAAACGTCCCCACCCGTCAAAATTTATTTGCCTTCCACAAGGTAGTGATACCTTCGGGAGGTATTAAAGTGCTCAAACTTAGAAACTAAATGCGAGTGGGTGTTCTCAACTTTTGATATCAGGAGGGAGCTAAGACTTGCTTCAAATTCAGATTTGTCGGATGCCCTTTTCAATAGATTTATGGCAATTGCTTCCAATTTGGAAGATCTCTCATTGACAGGATGTGATATATCTTTCGATTTTGAGCTGTGTAAGAAATATTACCCTGGTGACATGTTAGAATTTGGCTACACAATGGCATCAGAAAGAGTTCTGACATTCATTAATATATTACAACACATTGTGTCAAAAGCAGGGAAGATTAGAAAGTTGAAATTTTGGTATCATGGACATTGATGATGCAGCATTGTCACAACTTGCAGAAGTACCAGAACTACATCTTGAAACACTACATCTTCATTTTTGTGAACAGCTGAACAATGCAGGCATACTCAGAATCAGAATACCAACCGAGTCTCACTGAATTAGATTTAAGTCACTGTCCTGGCATTGGTGATCCTCTGTAAATCTGCAGTTGCAATGACTTAATCTTGCTGAACTATCCTTACATGAGAGAACTTTGTGTCTTATAGCAGAGAACCTTCCTAGGCTTATATATCTTGACCTTTGAGACTGTTCTAATGCAGTGACAGACATGTCTATTCAGGCCATTTTCCAACACCAAGTGTGGCTTCGATCCCTCAAACTGACAATGTGTGAGACAGTAACTGATGCTGGACTCACAGGGATGGGGTTGAGAAGAAGAGGATCAGAACAAGCAGAAGAGTGGAAATGGAAAAAAGTTTATTGCAGATGTGTGAAGACCAGGACACAGAAGAAGTTGAAAATGGTGCTGGATTCTTGAGCCAAAAATCCAGGGTTTAAGACTGGTTGGACCCAATGTAGCATTTTGACATGCCTTCCTATTTTTCATTTCTGACCAACTCCGTGAAACAGAGTCTTTACTGTAAAACTTATTGTCACCCTGATAGTAAATTCCGTTTCTCACAGAACTCGAACATTCATTATTGTTTTCACAAGAGCCCATCACTGGACTGCGTCCGGAACCAGATGTTTCCAGTCCATACTTCAACACCCTTAATCCAACCTCAAACAAAGTTTTGTAAGTGTTGTAAAATCAAGAACTTTCATCATGAATCATTAAGCTGTAAGCCCTCTCTATTGGTCATTATCTTTGCCATCAACCTATCACTAGAAAAACATTTATATTTCACTGACAAATTTTCATTTTCACTAAATAAATGCGGTTACTAGTGTCACAATAAAGAGCAGAACTTCACTGGTGGAGGTGGAGGTTCATTTACACTACATTTATTAAATTTCTTCAAAGCAGGTTCCGCCTGTGTAGTCCGTGCAGGGACTGCAGGCATAATTTCAAATGTTCTGACCTTTCTAGAGACATGCCAGAGCAGTTGGTTGTATCCAGGTACTTCAGATTGCTACATCTCTGTCCAATTGCTGTAAGGCTTGCATCTGTCAGCTTGGAGCATCCCTGCAGAGGAGATCGTACCCATTATTTAGCACTTGCAACAGATAACAATCACACTGCTACGTATCAGTTATCCAGAGAAGTTTGAAGAAAATTGTAAACATATCATATGACAGTTGCTTGTGTACTATCCACGATAAATACAATGCCATCACTGAGCAGTAATGAAATGCAAAATTGTAATATTTCACAGAATAACAATCAATTACATATTGTCTTATGATAAACTCCTTCATTTGGAATTCAATGTCACTGGGGACTTCCCACATCACTTAATGGTAATTATTTTTAAATACTTTATTTTTGGCATATATATATATATATATGGATTTTATTTGGAAGATACTTTTATGGGGAGATTTGTAATGTATCACTGTGAAACTATTACAGTAAAACTTTAATTTGATAAGCCATTAATGATCTATCACAGATTCTACTCTTAAAATGTTTTATTTATTTTATTTATTATGATTGAAAATATTTCGCTTAGTTTCAGATCTGAAGGACTTCTCTATAAAACATATTTTATTAGGATAATTTGATAATCTAAAGTAATCATGAGGAACCACAGAAATACAATCCTGGGTTCTTGCTTATTAACTTTATCAGCATGTGTTATGTACCAAGTTAACTTGCTTGATATAAAGTGACATATACCCGCAATTCAAGATGTTTCAGTCTTGACAAATGCTTCACAAGTTCAATAATGCCACTGTCTGTGATTTTGTTACAAAAGTTCATTTTAAGGGTTTCAATGCTTGGGTTCTTTGAGGCCAGATCTGAGATTCCTGCATCTGTTACCTGTAAGCAGAATGTAAAATGTAAAAAGAAAAAATAGCATTGAAAATTTTGTAAATGATCCTCTTTAACAAGCCCCTTGTACTTCTGTACAATTTTATCAAAATAGAAGGACTTGGTGTTTGAGACTAAAAGGTAAGATATCGAGAAACCCAATTAGAATCAAGACATATTAAATTTCCTGATGAAATTAACTTGCCGGCAGAGACTCAGATTTAAATGTTGAAGTTCAAGAAAACTAAAGGTTGACATCTGTGATTCCCTGGCAGCCATACAAATCTAGTTCTTGCAAACCTGGGGGGAAAAATAAATAGATTACAATGAATCAGTTTATCTAATGATATCCTTAAATTATATGATCAAAGAAACGTCTGTGTTATTAACATATTCTGCATACCTTTCAATGTAACAACTGAGAAACTGAAGATTTCTGTCTTCTGGGTTGTTGCGCTGTGTAGTCTGGTCGATGTTTACCAACGTTTCAGAGGTCATACTGCCTCCGTCATCAGGGCAATGAATATGCCAATAAGACTTGAGGTTCTCACAGCGGTGAGTATGAAGATATCCGTCTTCTGGGTTATTGCGCTGTGTAGTCTGGTCGATGTTAACCAACGTTTCAGAGGTCATACTGCCTCTGTCATCAGGGCGATGAATATGCCATGACCTCTGAAACGTTGGTTAACATCGACCAGACTACACAGCGCAATAACCCAGAAGACGGATATCTTCATACTCACCGCTGTGAGAACCTCAAGTCTTATTGGCATATTCATTGCCCTGATGACGGAGGCAGTATGACCTCTGAAACGTTGGTAAACATCGACCAGACTACACAGCGCAACAACCCAGAAGACAGAAATCTTCAGTTTCTCAGTTGTTACATTGAAAGGTATGCAGAATATGTTAATAACACAGACGTTTCTTTGATCATATAATTTAAGGATATCATTAGATAAACTGATTCATTGTAATCTATTTATTTTTCCCCCCAGGTTTGCAAGAACTAGATTTGTATGGCTGCCAGGGAATCACAGATGTCAACCTTTAGTTTTCTTGAACTTCAACATTTAAATCTGAGTCTCTGCTGGCAAGTTAATTTCATCAGGAAATTTAATATGTCTTGATTCTAATTGGGTTTCTCGATATCTTACCTTTTAGTCTCAAACACCAAGTCCTTCTATTTTGATAAAATTGTACAGAAGTACAAGGGGCTTGTTAAAGAGGATCATTTACAAAATTTTCAATGCTATTTTTTCTTTTTACATTTTACATTCTGCTTACAGGTAACAGATGCAGGAATCTCAGATCTGGCCTCAAAGA